AACCTTTGGCCCGTTATATTGTGACCTTTACCATTAGTATGTTACATTATGACCTTTACCTTTAACCTGTTATACTGTGGTCTTTACCCCGTTATATTGTGACCTTTACCTTTAACCCGTTTTATTGTAACCTAACCTTTACCCCGTTACACTGTTGCTTTTACCTTTGACCTATTTTATTGTGACCTTTACTTTTAACCCGTTATATTGTGACCTTTACCTTTAACCTGTTATATTGTGGCCTTTACCCTGTTATATTGTGACCTTTACCTTTAACCCGTTATATTGTGACCTTTACCTTTAGCATGTTACATTATGACCTTTACCTTTAACCTGTTATATTGTGGCCTGTACCCTGTTATATTGTGACCTTTACCTTTAACCCGTTATATTGTGACCTTTACCTTTAACCCGTTATATTGTGGCCTTTATCTTTAACCCGTCATATTATGACATTTACCTTTAACTCGTTATATTGTGACCCTTACCTTTAACCAGTTATTTTGTGACATTTACCTTTAACCTGTTACACTGTTGCCTTCACCTTTAGTATGTTATTTTATTGCGTCTAGCTTTAGTCTCTTATAATGTTATCTTCGTCTTTAGTCCTTTTATGGTGATAGTTTCCTTTAGTCTGTTACATTGTGTTCATTACCTTTAATCCATTGTATTTTGATCTTTACCTTAAACTGAAAAACATTTAAGTAGTTTACACAACACACTTATTGCGATTAAATGTTGAAATTGATAGACCACGTTTCACAATATATCTTCAGAAATCAGAAGTAATGATGTATTCATGCATTGGAAGGTCTCTGACCCGGTATAGTGGCCCTGCCATTGAACTTACGGTCATAAAACTGGTACAAGACACATAATCTTATGGCGTTACGTAGGTATTACTTCGTAACATGTCTAGATCTGTCACTACTAACGGAACAGTCTAGACATGAAAAGGACAGACAGGGGATTAATGATTAACACCTCCGAATCCTAGATTATGTATCTCACAGCACGCATCAACTCAAATTTCTTTTAATGGTCCAAAATATGGCGGTAAATCGTACTCTAACAGAGACCCGTTCTCTGTTGTTGAGCACGTGTAATACACGTATAGGCTGTTTACCTTCAGTATGAATTACCTCTATCTTTAATATACCTCTATTGTATTAACTCTATATAAAAGTAGCTCGTTAAATTATCTATAACTCCGATTTTAGCCTGACTTTGCTGTCGAGGGATATAGTCTTCAATCTTTCGTGTGTTAGTCTGAAATCTAAATCTCTCCTATAGACTAACTCTCGCCAGTTTCCGTAACTTCCTCGCGGAAATGACCGAACCATTCCGAGGAAAGGTAGATGTAGTTTATAAATATCTGTCTCCTTGTTATCGACCGTAAGACACAGATGCAGAAAATATATAGAAAGACAAAATGGGTTTTCGGAACTTTTTGTTTTGAATGCTTTTAAAAATATCCGTGCATTTCGTTCCAGTACAATAAAACAGTAAAAATGTGGGATATCTCAAACTAATAATGTAGCCATATTATGATATTGTATCTTATCTGTAATAGATTGAGAACGAAGGAGGACCTGTTTCTAATAAAACCTAGTAGTGATTTGTGTGTAGTGTATGTTTTTTTTTACTTTGTTATGTCATAAAAAAATTTCGGAGAGGTGACTTGTGCGATACCTGTCAACAGTTTAAAAGTAGTTTTGCTGGTATGTATAGCAAGCATCGCTGAATGTATGGGAAAACACAGACATGGAGATTATAGCATGTTCGTCTTCACATTTCGATCTTCAGTAAGATACTTAATGAATAATTAATAATGATGTGGTGGGCTGGTAAAGGTACGTCGACCAGGTACTTTATACATATTTTACTACTGTACACAATATCGATGTTTCTCAACATTTGAAGATTTTTTTAATGTGCAATCTGTGGTATATATATCTTTGAAAGAATTGGCAGTGTACCATGGGAGAAAGGAGCTTCACGTTTATTATCAGATAACATCACTGCTAGTGTTGAAGTCTGACTTTAATATGATACCAGAGGATTGAATGACGGTCTTACTCTAAATACTCCCACCAACATGAAAAGGTCTGACAGAGCCAGAGGATGGATCGTAACGGTACCGGTTGATGTCAACAAGCAAAGTATAAACATACAGTGGCGATATCAACTGGTGTTGTCGTGAGGTGTATTTCTAATCCCGACAATAAAACACGAGAAAAAATCAATTAAGTTCAAGACAATTGGGGTTAACAGTTCTGAGCCCGTGTCATAATAGCATAACCCTACTATCCATGGAGATAGTCCTCTTTATTATCAGTCTATCTGCCGTGTGCTAGTCCGAAAACTTAAGCACCCCTGCAGGAATGCAGGCTATATCTCCTTCAGCTGTTCCCATAATTCCCAACGGAGATGAAATGTGAGTGGAGATTTTGACCCCACCCGGTCGTTGATCTTTAGATGAAAGCCAAGACGATATATGTGAAAGGGAAGATATGACACTCAACAGGTTTTCAGAAGCAGCGGTTTAATGTTTTGAATGCCTACGCGCTTTTTATTGGTATAAAAAAAAACTGTTGAAGTATGGAATTTCGGGATATAGCAGGTTTCTGGTTTCCCTTGACAATCAGACATATTTTCGGCTTCGGCTCGAGAAATACCTATGAAGACCTTGTCTTGGGGAAAGCAACTTAAAAGTGCTTTACCACTCCAGCCTATAATCTAACTAAAGATAAATAACTATATAACGAGGTACGGCAAGTAAACATAGCTATTGTCATTAAAATTGGCCTGCCTATTCGCGCGTGCCATATCGCGTGCTGTTAAGACGTGCTACAAGCATGTATACCGCTTGCCCAAGGTTTTGTAAAACACATTGTCTATCGAAATGCTATGAGAACTAAATGTGTCAATTCTAAGTGACACTAATGGTTTGTGATAATGTTATATGTGTTTTCATTTTTTACGGAAATGTAATGCACACATCATGGCTGTTCTCAATCCTTCAAAATGCCATTCTTATATATACTTACCCTGCCTCTAATAAAGCTAAATTTAACCTATTTACTCTGAAATATCTTTGTATATTTTTATCACTTCAGGAAAGTAATCGTAGTTTATCGCAATTTCTCTTTGGAACGAATTTCTAAATGCGGTGTCGGTAACTCGAGTGCTATAGATTGTGTGTGTGTCCACGAGCGACTTGGACCAGAATCAGCGACACCAGCCTTGTGTTATTACATCTAGTATACCGGATATGTACGTTTCAATTATTAAAATCCGCTCGGTGGTACTCGAGGTAAAACTTAAGAAGTTTAAGGATTCTTGTGCGCCAACAATGAAATCGAATTTGTTTACCAGCATGACAATAGTTGCAATAAGAAACCCATATCTTGCAGAACACTTGTTTAACATTTGCAACATCATTGTTCCGAAAGTTAAAAATGCAACGGGACCATACCGTGATTGATTCGAATAAATATGAGATGTCGAGTGGCGCAGTGGATAGTGCATTCGCCGTATACTAATACGACCGCGGTTCAATTATCCGAACGTAAAAAGGTATGGGTTCACTTGCCCGACCACGTGGGTTTTCTCCGGGTACTACTCCGGTAGATCCCATGCGCGTTAAAACCCGTATCAGTAAGAGTACATGTAATTTATATAAGTTGATAAAACTTGCTTCATATCTATTGTAAAATAGATAAAACTTACAGTTAGAAAAGTTATGTTTATAAAAATCTAAATTAGGGAGAGGCTACCATATGTATGAATCATCTAGTGTTTAACTGTTATTGGAACAAGGAACCTTAAGTTTGATAACTTAGATCTTGTATTCTTATATATCGCCAACCAGAACGAAAACATGCACAACTATAAACAAAACCAATCGAGATCGTGACGTTGTGTCTGTTTAAAACATTTACGGTTATGGCAATTAAGAATCACTCTTAAAACATACAAATTGCCGATTACCGTAAACATGTAAAAAAAAAAAAAAAAAACTAAAACTAAAAAAACACGACCTGAAGTCAGTCAATTGTGAACGTAATATCTCACCAATATCAACAAATCTTAGCTCGTTTTACTGCACTCCATGATCAATCACATGAAAAACCTTTTAAATTAAGATTGACTGTATTCCACCATCTACAACTTCAAGTTCAAGTCAGCGCCAAGCGTTTAATTATAAACCGTCATAAGGGCCTTTGACCATTCCCGACTGTGAACGCATTGACAAATACTTTCATATATATTTGTAAATAGATATCTAGGCGAACTTACTAAGTTAATTTATGAAACAGTTTCAAAGTTTTTACAGCAAAAATCGATTCGATTATGTACATGTAGGTAGACGGATAAGTTACACAGAACAGACAGACCGATAATAACAATGAGAAGTAGACCAGGCCGTACTGTACGACAGTCCTAATACAGTTACGTCCCAGCATGCAGTATTAGACCTCCATATGTCGGAGGAGATGACATCAGTTAAAGTTATAATAACCACAATTGTAAACTTTATGAAAAATCAGATATACGTTTCACCAACTGATCGTGTGTCGCGTATGATTTTTATGACCCTCAACTAAATGTCAATGTCATTATAACGGATTTGAGAACGATCGATGTTGTCATCCAATTCGAATCAGGACCATTGCATCAAGATTGCAGATTTTTGATGAAGCACGACGTACACAAACATATACATTTGATCGCTCTTGCATATCAGTTTTATGTCATTAGTCTGCTTTGTATTATGCTTTGAATAATATTTAGTTTCTCAAAAAGATGAATATAACATGCATGTCAGCGACATTCTCCTAAAATATAGAAAACCTACAATGTATTCCAACTTCCAGAACCAAACATCGGAACAGAAGTTTATTGAGAAATGTTTTTATTCTGTCCAGTCAGTATGAATCTATATGTCAGTAATCTCATACTCACTACCGCATTCATACATTGATATGAATTCTTACCTCCACACGTGTCCGGTACAGGTAGCCGACACTCCATAAGATCATCCCGACCGAGTTCCTACACCCTACGTCAATCAGGGTACCACCCAACAGTATATGATTCCTGTTCAGACGAACTTGCGATATGCAAGATATGTGTCGTTACTATGATAGTGTGTCCGTATGGATGACAGTACGGGTCAGCCACTGAGTAGCAACCAAACCAACCAAACACAGAGTACGATCAGCCACTAGGTACCGCCTGTACACACGGACTGGGACTGGCCGCTAGGTATGGGTTATACACAAGGACAGTGAACAGCCACTAGGTACCGCCTGTACACACGGACTGGGACTGGCCGCTAGGTATGGGTTATACACAAGGACTGTGAACAGCAACTAGGTATGGGTTATACACAAGGACTGTGAACAGCCCCTAGGTACGGCCTATACACAAGGACTGTAAACAGCCACTAGGTACGGCCTATACACAATGACTGTGAACAGCAACTAGGTATGGGTTATACACAAGGACTGTGAACATCCACTAGGTACGGCCTATACACAAGGACTGTGAACAGCCACTAGGTATGGCCTATACACAAGGACTGTGAACAGCAACTAGGTATGGGTTATACACAAGGACTGTGAACAGCCACTAGGTACGGCCTATACACAAGGACTGTGACCAGCCACTAGGTATGGCCTATACACAGGGACTGTGAACAGCAACTAGGTATGGGTCATACAAAAGGACTGTGAACAGCCACGGACTATGAACAGCCACTAGGTACGGCCTATACACAAGGACTGTGAACAGCAACTAGGTATGGGTTATACAAAAGGACTGTGAACAGCCACTAGGTACGGCCTATACACAAAGACTGTGAACAGCCACTAGGTACGGCCTATACACACGGTCCAGGATCGGCCACTAGGTACCGCCTGCACATACGGACTGGGACTGGCAGCTAGGTATGGGTTATACACAAGGACTGTGAACAGCCACTAGGTACCGCCTGCACACACGGACTGGGACTGGCCACTAGGTATGGGTTATACAAAAGGATTGTGAACAGCCACTAGGTACGGCCTATACACAAGGACTGTGAACAGCCACTTGGTATGGGTTATACACAAGGACTGTGAACAGCCACTAGGTACGGCCTATACACAAGGACTGTGAACAGCCACTAGGTACCGCCTGCACACACGGACTTGGACTGGCCACTAGGTATGGGTTATACAAAAGGATTGTGAACAGCCACTAGGTACGGCCTATACACAAAGACTGTGAACAGCCACTAGGTACGGCCTATACACAAGGACTGTGAACAGCCACTTGGTATGGGTTATACACAAGGACTGTGAACAGCCACTAGGTATGGGTTATACACACAGACTGTGAACAGCCACTAGGTACCACCTGTACACACGGACTGGGACTGGCCGCTAGGTATGGGTTATACACAAGGACTGTGAACAGCCACTAGTTACGGCCTATACACAAAGACTGTGAACAGCCACTAGGTATGGGTTATACACACGGTCCAGGATCGGGCACTAGGTACCGCCTGCACACACGGACTGGGACTGGCCACTAGGTATGGGTTATACACAAGGACTGTGAACAGCCACTAGGTACGGCCTATACACACGGTCCAGGATCGGCCACTAGGTACCGCCTATATACACACGGTCCAGGATCAGCCGCTAGGTACCGCCTATACACACGGTCCAGGAACGGCCACTAGGTACCGCCTATACACACGGTCCAGGATCGGCCACTTGGTACCGCCTATACACACGGTCCAGGATCAGCCACTAGGAACCACCTATACACACGGTCAAGGATCAGCCCCTAGGTACCGCCTATATACACACGGCCTAGGATCAGCCGCTAGGTACCGCCTATACACACGGTCCAGGATAAGCCGCTAGGTACCGCCTATACACACGGTCCAGGATAAGCCGCTAGGTACCGCCTATACACACGGTCCAGAATCGGCCACTTGGTACCGCCTATACACACGGTCCAGGATCACCCACTAGGAACCGCCTATACACACGGTCAAGGATCAGCCACTAGGGACTGCCTATACACACGGTCCATGATCACCCACTAGGTACCACCTATACACACGGTCAAGGATCAGCCACTAGGTACCGCCTATACACACGGTCCAGGATAAGCCGCTAGGTACCGCCTATACACACGGTCCATGATCAGCCATTAGGTACTGCCTATACACACAGACTGTGAACAGCCACAAGGTTCCATCTATACACACGAATTTGGATTAGTCATTGGATACCGCCTGTAATACACACGGTCCAGGATCAGCCGCTAGGTCCCGCCTATACACACGGTCCAGGATCAGCCATTGGGTACTGCCTATACACACAGACTGTAAACAGCCACTAGGTTCCGTCTATACACACGAATTTGGATTAGTCATTGGATACCGCCTGTAATACACACGGTCCAGGATCAGCCGCTAGGGACCACCTATACACACGGTCCAGGATCAGCCGCTAGGTCCCGCCTATACACACGGTCCATGATCAGCCATTAGGTACTGCCTATACACACAGACTGTGAACAGCCACAAGGTTCCATCTATACACACGAATTTGGATTAGTCATTTGAATCCGCCTGTACAAAAGGATTGTTAACAGCCACTATGTTTTGCCTATACACACGGTTCCGGATCAGCCGCTAGGTACCGCCTATACACACGGTCCATGATCAGCCATTAGGTACTGCCTATACACACAGACTGTGAACAGCCACTAGGTTCCATCTATACACACGAATTTGGATTAGTCATTGGATACCGCCTGTACAAAAGAATTGTTAACAACCACTATGTTTTGACTATACACACGGTCCAGGATCAGCCGCTAGGTACCGCCTATACACACGGTCCAGGATCACCCACTAGGAACCACCTATACACACGGTCAAGGATCAGCCACTAGGTACCGCCTATATACACACGGTCCAGGATCAGCCGCTAGGTACCGCCTATACACACGGTCCAGGAACGGCCACTAGGTACCGTCTATACACACGGTCCAGGAACAGTCACTAGGTACCGCCTATATACACACGGTCCAGGATCAGCCGCTAGGTACCACCTATACACACGGTCCAGCATCAGCCGCTAGGTACCGCCTATAAAAACGGTCCAGGATCAGCCGCTAGGTACCGCCTATACACACAGACTGTGAACAGCCACTAGGTTCCGTCTATACACACGAATTTGGATTAGTCATTGGATACCGCCTGTAAAAAAGGATTGTTAACAGCCACTATGTTTTGGCTATACACACGGTCCAGGATCAGCCGCTGGGTACCGCCTATACACACGGTCCAGGATCACCCACTAGGAACCACCTATACACACGGTTAAGGATCAGCCACTAGGTACCGCCTATATACACACGGGCCAGGATCAGCCGCTAGGTACCACCTATACACACGGTCGAGGATCAGTCACTAGGTACCGCCTATAAAAACGGTCCAGGAGCAGCCGCTAGGTACCGCCTATACACACGGTCCAGGACCGGCCACTAGGTACCGCCTATACACACGGTCCAGGAACAGCCACTAGGTACCGCCTATATACCCACGGTCCAGGATCAGCCGCTAGGTACCACCTATACACACGGTCCAGGATCAGTCACTAGGTACCGCCTATAAAAACGGTCCAGGATCAGCCGCTAGGTACCGCCTATACACACGGTCCAGGATCAGCCATTAGGTACTGCCTATACACACAGACTGTAAACAGCCACTAGGTTCCGTCTATACACACGAATTTGGATTAGTCATTTGATACCGCCTGTACAAAAGGATTGTTAACAGCCACTATGTTTTGACTATACACACGGCCCAGGATCAGCCGCTAGGTACCGCCTATACACACGGTCCAGGATCACCCACTAGGAACCACCTATACACACTGTCAAGGATCACCCACTAGGTACCGCCTATATACACACGGTCCAGGATCAGCCGCTTGGTACCGCCTATACACACGGTCCAAGAACGGCCACTAGGTACCGCCTATCCACACGGTCCAGGAACGGCCACTAGGTACCGCCTATATACACACGGTCCAGGATCAGCCGCTTGGTACCGCCTATCCACACGGTCCAGGATCGGCCACTAGGTACCGCCTACCCACACGGTCCAGGAACGGCCGCTAGGTACCGCCTATAAAAACGGTCCAGGATCAGCCGCTAGGTACTGCCTATACACACAGACTGTGAACAGCCACTAGGTTCCGTCTATACACACGAATTTGGATTAGTCATTGGATACCGCCTGTACAAAAGAATTGTTAACAGCCACTATGTTTTGACTATACACACGGTCCAGGATCAGCCGCTAGGTACCGCCTATACACACGGTCCAGGATCACCCACTAGGAACCACCTATACACACGGTCAAGGATCAGCCACTAGGTACCGCCTATATACACACGGTCCAGGATCAGCCGCTAGGTACCGCCTATACACACGGTCCAGGAACGGCCACTAGGTACCGCCTATACACACGGTCCAGGAACGGCCACTAGGTACCGCCTATATACACACGGTCCAGGATCAGCCGCTAGGTACCACCTATACACACGGTCCAGGATCAGTCACTAGGTACCGCCTATAAAAACGGTCCAGGATCAGCCGCTAGGTACCGCCTATACACACGGTCCAGGATCAGCCATTAGGTACTGCCTATACACACAGACTGTGAACAGCCACTAGGTTCCGTCTATACACACGAATTTGGATTAGTCATTTGATACCGCCTGTACAAAAGGATTGTTAACAGCCACTATGTTTTGACTATACACACGGCCCAGGATCAGCCGCTAGGTACCGCCTATACACACGGTCCAGGATCACCCACTAGGAACCACCTATACACACTGTCAAGGATCACCCACTAGGTACCGCCTATATACACACGGTCCAGGATCAGCCGCTTGGTACCGCCTATACACACGGTCCAAGAACGGCCACTAGGTACCGCCTATCCACACGGTCCAGGAACGGCCACTAGGTACCGCCTATATACACACGGTCCAGGATCAGCCGCTAGGTACCACCTATACACACGGTCTAGGATCAGCCGCTAGGTACCGCCTATAAAAACGGTCCAGGATCAGCCGCTAGGTACTGCCTATACACACAGACTGCGAACAGCCACTAGGTTCCGTCTATACACACGAATTTGGATTAGTCATTGGATACCGCCTGTACAAAAGGATTGTTAACAGCCACTATGTTTTGACTATACACACGGTCCAGGATCAGCCGCTAGGTACCGCCTATACACACGG